GACTACGGGTTCTGTCAGGGGAGCCGGCGCGCCAGAGAGAGAGAAAGGGAGATGGACAATCTCATGGAATCTGCAAGTCTCATCTCACATACGCCGCATTATTTCCCGGTCTCTGCCACTCGCTTGAAAGGAAATAAAACCTCCATTTTCAATGGGATAGAGCAGGTAGAGAAAGAAGTCCTTTTCTCCCTTTCTCACAATACAAGAACTCGTGGGCACTCCATGAAATTGCTGAGCAGTCGGGTTAGAATGGATAAAAGGAAGTCCTTCTTCACCCAAAGAGTGATTAACACGTGGAATTCACTGCCACCAGAGGTGGTGGCAGCTACAAGCATGGACGGCTTCAAGAGGGAATTAGATAAGCATACGGAGCAGAGGTCCATCGGTGGCTGTTAGCCACGAGGCATAGATAGGAACTCTCGGTCTGGGGCAAGGGATGCTCTGTATTCTTGGTGCCTGGTGCCTGGTGGTGGTGGTGGGGGCAACAGTGGGGATGGGCTTCTAGTGTCCTCCTGGCCCCACTGGTGGACCTCCTGATGGCACCTGGTAGTTTTGGCCACTGTGTGACACAGCGTGTTGGACTGGATGGGCCATTGGCCTGATCCAACATTGGCTTCTCTTAGGTTCTTAACTTTCCTTAGTCCCTCCAGTTCCTGGGGCAACTAAGCGCTAGTCCAGGACTGGTGTTCCCTCTAAGCTGAGTTAGTGTGAGCTAGCTCACAGTTCTTTAGCCTCTGGCTCACACAATTTTATCTTCGCTCAGGAAGGATGGCTCCGGAGCAAGCTAATTTATGCAGCAGCCAAACTACCTGCTCACAACTTTAAAGACAGTAGCTCACAAAGTAGAATTTTTGCTCACAGGACTCCATAGCTTAGAGGGAACATTCGCCTCCGCCCAGTGGGAACAGCAGAGGCAGAGGGCCTCCCACCGAGCTGGCCCAACAAAAACAACGTGCCACGCTGGCAGCCCGTGCTCCACCGCCCAGGCTGGATTGTGGTGGACGTCACCCTTGGCAGCCCCGGTTCAGTCTGGCTAGAGCAGACTCTCACATGCTGCTTCCGGAGCAGGCGGAACTGCTGTCTTCTCAGCCCGGGGCTGAGAAAACGGGTAGCTTGACGGATCAACCGGTCCACCGAGGATAAGCCTGCATCCCCGTCGCAACTCCTTGCTGCCAGTTCCTTGCCTCCAGCTCCATCCCTGCCTATCTAAGCCGGAGGGCACTGCCACTCAAGGAGACCTGCCCGCAGAATAGAGGGCATGTGCAGACTTGGAGGGTGTGTGTGTGTTTCCTTCCTCTGTGCTTTTGTTCTGTTGTGGGCGGTATAGTTTCGATAGGGGACATTCTGGCAAGAGCGAAAGGTGAGCTGACGGACCCAGAGAAGGGCTGGATGTAGCCCCGCAAGTGAGAGCTGCTAGAGTGACCTGGAGGAAACAGCGACACCCATTCCCTTCATTTCTTCATCCGTTTTGTGAGCAGTGCCAGTTTGGTGTCGCGGTTAGGAGCGCGGACTCTAATCTGGGGGAAGCGGGTTGGATTCCCCACTCCCCCCCCACGTGCAGCTGCTGGTCTGACCTTGGTTCAGTCACAAGTTCTCTCGGAGCTGTTCTCTCAAGAGCAGTCCTCAAAAGAGTTCAGTGCCTAGTTGTGACATTGTTATGATATCATTAAACGGGACACATGCTATTACTTCTTTGCATTAGCTCATTTTTATATCTACCTAAAAACAACGGTTATAGGTACTAAATTGAGCTTGTTGACAAAGTAAAACCACTAGTACTATAATACTTTGCAAACTATTTATGCTGTTTATGCTGTTCTGTAAGTTTAATACTACTATTACTTACTTTTGAGAAAAACTTAATAAAAATAATTTTTTAAAAAAAGAATTATCTCAGCCCCACCCAATGTTCCCTCTAAGCTGTGGAGTCTTGTGAGCAAAAATTCTACTTTGTGAGCTACTGACATTAAAGTTGTGAGCAAGCGATTTGGCTACTGCATAAATTAGTTGGCTCTGCAGCCATCCTTCCTGAGCTAAGCCAAAAACGTGTGAGCCGGAGGCTAAAAAAATGGGAGCTAGGTCACACTAACTCAGCTTAGGGGGGACACTGGTTTTTAAAAAGCCACTCCCCACAGCTGGGGAAGGGAAAGGAAAGGAGATTGTAAGCCACTCTGAGACTCCTTCGGGTAGTGAAGGGCGGGGTATAAATCCAATCTTCTTTACTTTTCTTCTATTTTCTGTGTGTGTGCGCGTACGCACACCAATGTCCCCTCTAACCTGAGTTAGTGTGAGCTAGCTCACAGCTTTTTAGCCTCCGGCTCACACATTTTCGCCTTAGCTCAGGAAGGGCTGGCTCCAGAGCACATTAATTTATGCAGCAGCCAAATCACCCGCTCGCAACTTCAATGCCAGGAGCTCACAAGGTATAACCTTTGCTCACAAGACACCACAGCTTAAAGGGAGCACTGGCACACACCTCAAGGATTTATTATTATTGTTAATATTTCTATTAGTATTTTAAGGCACGGAGCCGAGTAGCTTCCACTTGCGGCTCGTTGCCCTCCCTGCCGTCTGCCGTTCTGTTTCAAGCGTTTGATAGCCTTTACTGCAAACTGGCCTGAATACATTTGTGGAAAGGCAGAAGCATCAGCTAACGGAGTGAGATGAGGCAAGGGACTTACGGCGGCCCCGTCGGGATTTCGAGGCGAGAGACGTTACGTGAGATACAGGGCTTTTTTCGCCTCGTGGGAACATGCCGGAACAGAGTTCCGGAACCTCTTTGACAAAATTCTTTTAAAAATGTTTAAAAGTCCAGGAGTTTTCATTATGCAGATTGAAAACTTCATTTCCCTCTTGAGAGTTCTGGCACCACACTTTTTTTAAAAAAAGAAAAGCTCGGCATAAAAACACCAGAAGAGCCCTGCTGGATCAGGCCAGGGAGGGTCCATCCAGTCCAGCATCCCGTCTCACACAGTGGCCAGCCAGTTCCTCTGGAGGACCAACAGCAGGGCAGAGAAGAACATCAGAAGAACATCTGAGAAGAACATCAGAAGAGCCCTGCTGGATCAGACAAGTGAGGGTCCATCGAGTCCAGTCTCCTGTCCCACACAGTGGCCAGCCAGTTCCTCTGGAGGGCAGTGAAGTCAGTAGTGTCTACTCGGGATGATGACTTTTACAGCTGCTCTCCAGGGTCTCAGGTAGAGGTCTTTCACATCACCTGCCACCTAGTCCTTTCATCTGGAGATGCCGGGGATTGAGCCTAGGACCTTCTGCAGGCCAAGCAGATGCTCTGCCTCTGAGTCACAGCCTGTCCCCCACATACACATGAATCCGCCTTCTAGTGAATCACACCCCCTGGGGTCCATCAAGGTCAGTATTGTCTGCTCAGACCTGCAGCTGCTCTCCAGGGTCTCAGGAACAGGTCTTTCACATCACCTGCCGCCTGGTCCTTTTAACTGGAGATACCAGGATTGGACCTGGGATATTTTGCATGCTATGCAGATGCTCTACCACTGAGCCATACATGAACATACATGAAGCTGCCTTATACTGAATCAGACCATTAGTCCATGAAAGTCAGTATTGTCTACTCAGACTGGCAGCAGCTCTCCAGGGTCTCAGGCAGAGGTCTTTCACATCACCTCCTGCCTGGTCCTTCGAACTGGAGATGCCGGGGATTGGGCCTGGGACCTTCTGCCTGCCAAGCAGAGGTTCTTCCACTGAGCCACAGCCCCTCTTTATAGCTCTCCAGGGTCTCAGGAGGAGGTCTTTCCCATCACCTCCTGCCTGGTCCTTTTTAACTGGAGATCGAACTGGGGATCGAACCTGGGGCCTTCTGCATGCTAAGCAGAGGCTCTACCACTGAGCCACAGCCCCTCTTTACAGCTCTCCGGGGTCTCAGGCGGAGGTCTTTCCCATCACCTCCTGCCTGGTCCTTTTTAACTGGAGATCGAACTGGGGATCGAACCTGGGGCCTTCTGCAGGCCAAGCAGAGGCTCTGCCACTGAGCCAGGATCCCTCCCCAACATGCACATGGAGCTTCCTTCTACTGAATCAGGCCCTTGGTCCATCAAAGTCAGTACTTCCCGCTCAGACTGGCAGCCGGTGTCCAGATTCACAGGCAGACATCTTTCCCATCACCTGCCACCTGGTCCTTTTAACTGGAGATGCCGAGCAACAAACCTGGGACCTTCTGCATGCCCGACAGGGGCTCTCCCGCTGAGACACAGCCCACCCCCCAAAAAAATCCCCCCCAATCTCTGATGGGATGACCCCGTCCCCTGGGCTGCAGACACCCACCGGATCCTTCTGCCCGCCCGCAGCCATCAAAACCTTCCTCCTGGGCCCCTGCTCTTCTCGGGTGAGTGCTTGAAACCGGAACCGGGGAGAGAGAAAAAGAAATCTCCTCCTTTCAGCCTCCGCGGCAGCCATGCACACAGCCGTCCAGGGCTTAATGGCAAGTGCTGGTTGCCTGAATGTGTGTTTTACCATCCAAATACTAACCACGGCTGACCCCACTTGACTTTTGAGATCTGACTAGCCTGGGCCGTCCACATTGGACCTGCTAGCCCAGGGCAACCCAATCTCATCAGATCTCGGCAGTGTCGGCCCTGGTTAGTCTTTGGATGGGAGACCACCGAGGAGCTCTAGGGTTGCTGTGCAGAGGCAGGCAGTGGCAAAACAGCCTCTGAACCAGTGTTCCCTCTAAGCTGAGTTAGTGTGAGCTAGCTCACAGTTTCTTAGCCTCCGGCTCACACATTTTTGTCTTCGCTCAGGAAGGAGGGCCCCAGAGCAAACTAATTTATGCAGGGGCCAAATCGCTCGCTCACAACTTTAATGCCAGTAGCTCACGGAGTAGAATTTTTGCTCACAAGACTCCACAGCTTAGAGGGAACGTTGCTCTGAACGTCTCTGGCCCTGAATGTTCCCAGGGGTTGCCATGAGTCAGCTGTGACTGGACGACAAAAGCCCTTTAGAGAAACGCAAGACAAAGGTATTACCTGAGGACCCTACCGGGGCCATTCATCGCAGGGGCCAGCCCGCCTGGCCTCATCAGCACTGAGTCAACGAGAAGGTCTTCTGAATTCGGAGGATGCCCTTTACACCTGTAGGAAAGAAGAACGCACAATAAGTGGCAATGAACACCAGCAGGCTGGCTTTTGCTCCTTCCTTCTGCCGGTCTTCTTTGTTTACTTGATATCTCGGTGAATACTTTGCCTCAAAATCTAGCCCTAAAATTACGGACTAGAGCACGGAGGTCGGGACTCCAAACCGCCTGACTGTCCCTGGTCTGAAAGACGCCAGACTGGCCATTACGAGGGCAAGGGCTTTCTCGGTGGTGGCTCCACACTGGTGGAACGAGCTCCTGGAGGACATGAAGGCCCTGCGGGACCTTTTACAGTTCCGCAGGGCCTGTAAAACAGAGCTCTTCCACCAGGCCTTTGATTAGGAGCCGCCACTGACCATTGCAAACTGAACACACCACAGCCCTATGTAACAACGCCGGACATGGCCTTTCCATCGGACCGTTTACAGAAATTCCCACCATCAGTTTAGAAAAAGAAGAGACTGGATTTATCCCCCGCCCTTCACTACCCGAAGGTGTCTCAGAGCGGCTTACAAACTCCTTTCCCTTCCCCTCCCCACAACAGACACCCTGTGAGGTCAGTGGGGCTGAGAGAGCTCTCGACAGAAACTGCTCTTTTCCAAGAACAGCTCTTATCAGAACTACGGCTTGCCCAAGGTCATCCAGCAGGTGCAAGTGGAGGAGTGGGGAATCAAACCTGGTTCTCCCAGATCACAGTCCATGCACTTAACCACTACACCAAACTGGCTCTCTTTCACACTAGCACTTTACTGGAAAAAAATTTAATCGTATTTTATCGTATCTTATTGTATTTTAACCTCTGTAAGCCGCCTTGAGCCAGTCTGCACCGGCAAGGCAGGATATAAATTGAAAATAATAAATATAAATAATAATAAATATTTCCCACACTTCTTATTTTTGTCACTTGTGAGCCCCCCTTTTCCGCACATAGAATCACAGAGTTCGAAGGGACCTCCAGGGTCATCTTGTCCAACCCCCTGCGCAAGGCAGGAAATTCACAAAGACCTCCCCCTCCACACCTGCAATGACAACTGTTCCATGCCCAAAAGATGACCAAAACCCCCCCCCTCCAGGATCTCCAGCCAAATTGGCCTGGAGAAAAACGGCTTCCTGACCCCCTTCCCTGGGCGTGTAAGAAAGGGCCACAAAGCACTGAGGCAACCCTTCCTGCCCTGCCTCAGTTCACAGGATTAGCATTGCTGTCAGATGGCCATCGAACCTCTGTTTGAACACCTCCCAAGAAGAAGAGCCCACCACCTCCCGAGGAAGCCTGTCCCACTGAGGAACCGCTCTACCTGTCAGGGAGTTCTTCCTAATGCCTAGCCGAAAACTCTTCTGATTTAATTTCAACCTTTTGCTTCTGGTCCGACCTTTTGGGTCAACAGAAAACAGCCCCACACCATCCTCTAGATGACAGCCCTTCAAGTACTTGAAGACGGTTATCGTATCACCTCTCAGTCATCTCCTCTCCAGGCTAAACCTACCCAGCTCCTTCAACCTTTCCTCAGAGGACTCGGTCTCCAGAACCCTCAACAACTTCGTTGCCCTCTTTTGGACACATTTTGGATACAGCTTGACTGTATCCTTCTTAAATTATGGGGCCCAAAACTGAACCCAATACTCTAGGTGAGGTCTAACCAGAGCAGAGTAAAGCGATACCATCACTTTGTGTGATCTGGACACTGTACTCGGTTGATACTGTCGCGGCGCGCGTGTCACGCAAATTGCACCCTGCTAAGATCCCACTGCAGTAAACCACACACACAGTTCTTGCGGTTAACTATATACAGTGATTTATTTCCAATATATACAGCTCTCTCCGTCAAAGTGCTCCGCAATACGCTCATACAAATAGAAGGAATACAATGTGCAGACTACATACACTTATATACACTTGACCAGCCAATCAGCTTACTGCTGAGTCGCAATGAGATAGCTCAGCTTAGCCCCACTCAGAACCGGTTTGTGCTGGTTCTTCAGACTGTCAGACACCTGTCAATTAGATTGGCATGATCACATATGCTGAAGACTTATACCTGTCAACAGATACAGCCCAAAATCGCATTGGCCTTTTTAGCTACTGCATCACACCGCTGACTCATTGTCTGTGTGCGTTTTGCTCCCTCTAGTGCTCGCTTCTATATTTCATCGCTGTATCTCTGGTTTATTTCCCTCCACTCTTAAAGCGTTCGGGAGTAGACTGGTGATGCAGCGGCGAAATATCGAAACAGCCACTACAGGAAGCAGAACACGCGTGGGAATCGACAAGACGCAATACAGGCACACGAGCGACAAAATAATATCTGCAGAAGAGCCGCTTGTCTCAAATGGAGGGGGAAGTCCTGCGAACGCATCTTCTGGAAGGGGCATGGAGCGGGATCCCCCCAGCAAAGTGGCCGCGGATCAGCGTGTGCTCAGACTAGGTTTGGCCACCTCCAAAGTGGCGCCTGGAGTTATCCGGGAATTACTACTCATCTCCAGATGACAGAGATCAGCTCCTCTGGAGAAAACGGCGGCTTCACGCGACAAACTCTACGGTATACCACAGATTATATACAAACTCCCTCCCTCCATGGGCACCACCCCCAAATCTTCAGGCACTGCCTGGACAGGAGCTGGCAAGCCACTCATAAGAACATAAGAGAGAAGCCAATGCTGGATCAGGCCAGTGGCCCATCCAGTCCAACACTCTGTGTCACACAGGGGCCAGAAATACCAGGTGCCCTCAGGAGGTCCACCAGTGGGGCCAGGAAACTAGAAGCCCTCCCACTGTTGCCCCCCCCCCCAAGCACCAAGAACACAGAGCATCCCTTGCCCCAGACTGAGAGTTCCTATCTATACCTTGTGGCTAAGAGCCACCGATGGACATCTGCTCCATATGCTTATCCAATTCCCTCTTATAAGAACATAAGAGAAGCCAATGTTGGATCAGGCCAATGGCCCATCCAGTCCAACACTCTGTCACACCGTGTCCAGAAATACCAGGTGCCATTAGGACGTCCACCAGTGGGGCCAGGGGGGCCAGGACACCGGAAGACCACCCCGTTGCCCCCCAAGCACCAAGAAGACAGAGCATTACTTGCCCAAGCCTGAGAGTTCCTATCTTGTGGCTAACCTCTGCTCCATATGCTTATCTAATTTTCTCTGGAAGCTGTCCATGCTCGTAGCCGCCACCACTTTCTGTGGCAGAGAATTCCAGGTGTTAATCACTCAAGGTATCACTGGGCGAGAGCTTCAGTTAGGGACTTCTGAATTCAGCACTAAAAAGTTCCAAAAAGCCCAAGCAAGCTCCAGACACAAAGGATGTAAGAGATCAATTGTGCTTCTTCTTCTTCTTTTAAGTGGTTTGATTTGGACACCCGCAATCCGTGCTGCTAAGTGGACTGCTTTTCCAGAGGGCCCCTTCCTTCCCTTCCCGACAGGGCTGTAAAAGCCAACTCTGGCTGATTCTGCATTGGCTTTTCCTGCCTCCCCGCTGGAACAGAAATTCCCCTCTGCATTGCATGCTGGCTTCATTCCCTTTGACCATCGGGTTTTATGCTACCCTCTACACTGCGTGCCGCTTTCGCCTCCTTTGACCATCGGGTTTTTGTCCTGGTTTTGGGGTCCCGAGACTTAACCCACACCCCCCAGTGGCCCCAATGACCACCAACTCACCCAGCAGACCCACAGACCGAGACGACCTTGCAACGCCGGACCCCGCCAGCACCGCTGAGGCACAACAGTCCAGACCAGTCCAACCGCGGAGTGAAGAGCCTCGTGGAGCAGCAGGAGAGGCCGACAGCGCCCGGGAGAAGCGGACGGTGAACACGCGAACGCACGAGACCCTGCACGCCGGTGCCAGCGGCGCGGCCCCAGACCAACAGGACCGCCGCCAGCATAGCTCCGACCACACCCAGGCCGTAGGGACGGCGTCGGAGCTTATCATAGGGGGCGGGAGGAATCACAGGGAGGCGGGGCCGGGAGGCGGGGCCAGGAGAGGGAGCTGGGTATAAAGGAGAGGGAAGTGAAGGGGCCGGAGAGGAAGGACGTGCTCAGAACTACTGGAGGAGGCACAGAGAGGAGGAGTCCAGGGAGGACGCTGAGAAGCTGGAGAGCCGATGCACGAAGGTAGAGGGACCTACGGAGTGCCCTTAAACTCCGTCCCGTACCCATCTGAGGCCCCAACGCTCCCCCCCTTCTTTAACAGGCCTCAATTTCCAGAGCCGTCGGACCTCCCCCACCTTGAGTCGCCATGGCCACGGGAGGGTCCACGCCCGGAGCCCAGGGTGGGCTTGACAGTTTTATGGTACGCTCTGCATAGATTTATGGCCGTTCAGGGGTGGACTTTGCAGTCAGTATGGCGTTGCACCGGGGTATCTGAATAATAATAAATAATAGTAATAATAATACTTACAATTTATTAATCGCTTTCCCCAGTGAGCTCAAAGCGATTTACAGTTACACATTTTAGACAGGGGACTAACAATGTTCATAGGGGATAGGGAAGACAACATATATTCATTTTTAATTGCACGCGCCGTCACTGCGTGAATGTGGTTTCGAGCGGCACTTTTCCCTCCCGGTTGAGAAAATGCGGAGCAAATGCCAGATGCCGAGTCGCCCCCTGCCTGCCCTCCTCCACGCCCCTCAGCGAGGCAGACACAAGATACGAAAATCTGATCTGGAAGTTTGTTTAGAAAGCCCCGACGGAGAGCAGCAAGCGGCCCGGTTCGGCGTTTGATATCGGGGCTTCCGCTGCGGGTGTCATTGCCTCTGCAAATTCCTCAAACCCCTGCCAAAACTTTTAAAAAACAGGAGGGGAAACGAGAACGAAGTCTCGGAGGTGACTTTGATCTGCTGCGCTCCCCGTGATGCCACTGTCGATGGCTGTGGAGAGACTGCAGCTGGTGCTGAACGCAGCTGTGTGTCACCGCACTGGCGGGGGAGCAGAAGAGAAGAGGCGTGTGGGCACGCAGGTGTGACTGAGAGGGAGACCACAGGCTCGGTACAACGGGG